TCATTTTTTATTGCCATCAACCTTTTCAAAGACTAGAACACCTATCCGGATACAAGGATCACCAACAAAACATAATATTTACAATGAAAAACAAAGCAGAAGATTGAAATGACATCGAAAAAAAGCAAATCGATGTGAAACTGTTTTATTTGAGCTTTTTTCCCAATTTCGCATAATGTCGGAATGCCGTCAGTAGTTGTCGTGACCGTTTTTCAGCACCCCTCGTGGTGTTCCATCTGGATTGAAGCGGACTCTGAAAGAGATTCAGTTTAGGGAGGGTATCTCAGCTAAGGGGCGGGGCATAATTTACAAATCACATAGCGACCAAGTCAAAAAATGCAATGATCTTATCGGATTAAATCTTGCCCACACCGAACCTTCAACTCCCTTAACGGGATCGGTCACTGTTCTCTAGAACGGCTGGCCTCTGCACATCCCATTGCAGGCGTACCGCACTCACGTGTCTAGGTCTATTCTAGGCCCAAGTGGAGCATGTGAAATATCCCAAAGGGGATTGATTACCGCGAATGCCTGATCGTTCCATTCGGTCTAGAACTCGCACCAATTAAAAGATCGGGGACGGATGGAGGGCCTGTCCGACGTGGGGTTCATTGTAGAATTTACCTCCCCCCACCTTACGGTTGACAAGCACCACTTCCTACTACTGCTATACTACCCTACTTACGCCCCAACATTTCTTCGTACTCACCATGGTGCAGGGCTAAATAAGGAAGCAATTCTAGAATCCAGAGAACTACCTTTGTTTCGATGAAGGTAAGCTTGACGTTGATGGATCCGTGGTACATTTCACTGTCATCTCGATATTGTGGTGGATGCGTTGAGAAGACTACCGTACCCATCGGAATTCCGAAGCCACCTAGAAATTTTGCTGAATTACATTTTTCAAATGGAAAGAAGATTCTTTGATTCATGGAAGCAACGTTCCATAAAAAGAAATTTAGTGGAAAGTTTTCGAAACGGCTCTCATATAGAATAGAGATCCTGCAAGTGTTTTACGTAAGT